CAATAGTTTTTTATAATCTCTTGTTGTTTTTTTTATTTGTCTTTTGGTTTTTTATCCTCGCAGGAGTTTCACTCTATCGTTATTATTTATAATTGTTTTATTTTTATTAATTTTTTTTGACTTAAACCCTGCTTTTTGCTAATCGCAAAATGAAAAAAAGGGTTTTTTTCAGTTTCCCAGGGACAATTTGGGAAATAGCACCTGGCAGGGGCCTTATGGGATATTTTTCAGCATGAAAAATATTTTCATAAATAATAACGGAGTAAACCTCCTTAATACGAGTAAAAAAACCAAAGTTGAAAGCCAAATTGAGAAGTTGAAACAACAAGAACAAACGATTAACAAAGAATTGTGAAGTTGAGAAACTAAACAAAAAAAAGCGAAACAATTGATCGGTTATTTAAAGGAAGCAAATGAGTTCAGCACCAAACATTTATCCGAAGGCAAAAAGGAAAACAAGAGACAATTAGAACACTTAATCAAAAATAAAGTCAAATTTGCTCTCAAGTTTGAACCAGCCAAAAAGGCTTTTTATCAACTAGTTTTCCAAAAAATAAAAAACCAAGTTAACCATTTAAAAAGCCAACTTGGCACTATTCAAAACCAATTATCTCACCAAGAACGGATATTCGCTCGCATAGAAGTCCGTCGTCAAGGCCGCAAACTTTTAACTTGCGAATATAAAAACCGTCTTGGTTGCCTAGGTGCTTATCAGTGCGATAATTGCCAAATTAACTACTCCGTAACTGCTGACAATAATCAAGCCACAGAAATTTCTCAATAATCATGGGAGCAGTTGAATTAAAATTTCAAGGAACTTTTAATAAGTCTGATTATTTACAAGAATTTTCCTGCGGCATTTGTCAGCAATATATTACGGAGCAGGATATTTGTCAGAGCAATTATCGCCTTTATGTGAGTGATTATGCTAATGAAGTTGAAAAAGATGAGTTTTTTTCTGAGCGGTTAGGTCGGAATCTAACCACTTACGGCTTAAACTTTTGATTAAAAGCCGTGGAACATTTGGAATGTCCGGAAGGGGAGGGTTAATCCCCCCTCTTTTTCCCTTTTTCGCACATCTGTGTTTGTGCTTAAATCTCAACCCCCTTTCCCATGCCTATCGGCTGAATTTGCCTAATTATTTTCTTTAATTCTTGCTGTTCTTTTCAGCACTCCAACTCATAATGTTTTTGTAAGTCTAACCAATAGTCCTCTCGCACTCCTCAATATAGACCTAGACGATAAGAGATTTCGGGAGTGATGTTTTGCTGTTCTTTTACTATTTTTTTGATAATATTTTCCTCCACTTTAATACTTTTTGCTAATTGTTGGGGAGTAATCTGATAAGTTTTTAATAATTCCTCCCGCAATATTTCTCCTGGATGAATGGGGTGTAAATCTTTATCTCGGACCATAATAACTTATTTTACTTACCATACTTTTTACTGTGCGGGTCAATTCAAATATCGTAAGCGTGTTTTTGTTCTTTATCCCAGCAAAATAATAGACGATATTTTTTACTTAAACGGATGCTGTGTTGGTCTTTACCAATTTTCTCTAACCGACCACCGCTGGCTCCATAGGGAAAATACATGGTGATTTCTTTTCAACTTTTAGCCTGGTAAATTATGGCTACTTTCCGGCGGGCTTCTTGCTTATCGCTGCGGCTTAATGCTTGGAATTTGAGAACTCTTTCACCATGATAAAAATCCTCGGTGTCCTTGTCTTTAAATCTTGGATCTTTGGGTTTGGGCATTAATTAATTTTGTATTCTATTTTCAGCAAATTGGTTATTCCTTAAAAAAATTTATTCCTCCTCTTTATAATTGGTTATTACTGACCTATCAGTTAAAATTATATTAACATGCAAAAAAATAGTCAACTTAACTCCCCGCATATCAAAACAGGCAACATCACTACCCAACAAGGTCACGCTAATATTGGCAACGTTGCTGAAGATAATGCTAACTTTGGTTATAGCGTTACTACTATTACTCCCCAACCAGAAAATATTTCCCAGCAACCCAATGAACCAGTAAACCAGGATCAACAAATAAATCTGGAAGAACAAGGCTTAGCCAGTGTGGAAGAAGTCAAAAAAAATAAACCCACTTGAAAAGAACGTAAAGATTACCAAATAGCAGCTGCTACCTTAGTAGTCACCCTTCTAACGGGTACCATAGTGCCCATTGTTTTGAAAGTTACTGGGAAAGTTTAGATTAGAGTTTTTAAATTAGTCCTTTGGTTGGCGGTTAAATATTGCCTTCTTAACTTTTGGCTTCATAAACTTCCTTTCTCCTCTCCCTCCACCCTCTCTGCCTACTCGCCCCATTCCTCCATTTCCTCACCCTCCCCGTCTCCAAATTCAAAACCCCACTAACCAACCCTGCCTCTATTCTCTTCTGCATCTTCCTCCTCCGATAAGCCTTCTGCCTTTCCGCATTAGAAGAATACTTAAAAACCAACCCCCCTTTTCTCCCTCACTTCTGAAAATCTTTTTTAGTATACCCCCATTTACTAAAATAAAACTTTTTTTCACTTTTTACCATAAATCTATTTTTGTTATGCTAGCCGTTATGTAAGGGCTTAAAAATATTCTTAAAAGTAGGTATAAATTATAATAGTTTATAGAATAAACTATATTTAAAAATTAATCCCGACCTAATTGTCCATTAGGGGAGGAATAAGAAAAATCTGCTTTCTGACAAGCAAGCATTATTTTTTTATGAGAGGATTATTCAAAAGTCTTTTCTCCAATTCAAGCCAAAAACAACCAAAAGGTACCAACCAAAACCAATGCCAATAAAAAAGATCAGAATATCGTATTTTTCAATGCCGAAAAAAATTAACTATTCCTATTCAACTAAGTATGGAGAGGGTTCATTTTAAGTTTATGTTTTTCATATCTCTGTATAATTGAAAATATCATTGTCTATTTTTCTAACCAAAAAAACTTATATACTCACATGTATACCTTAAAACCTGCCCTAAAAGTTAATTGTTTTCAATGCCGAAAAAAATTAATAGTCAATTTCTGTCCTCCTCGTCAGCATTATAGCAATAAAAATAACTGAGGCTACTGAACGAGCCAAAAGAAAAATCAAGGTCAATATAGGTGCGACGCTTGCTTAATTGATATGTATCGCAACCACAAATTAGTTTATTTAGACTCCATTACTGATAGCAAAAAAAGACGCACTTTTCGTGATTATTTTGGTGGTAGTTTGCCACTAACTAGAACTCAGCAAAAAAAACTACAAAACCTAAAAAGAGGCGAAGGCAAACTCTATCATATATTAAAGAGAAAAGGAATTAATCTGGATGAAGAAGGACTAAGTGATTACTTTAAAAAATGACAGCAAATAATTTTAAAGTTGATTCAAGACAATTCTCTCCAAGTCAAAAAAATCAAGGAGTTGGAGAAAAAACTTGCTAAAAAAGAGAAAAAAAGGTAAAAAAACTATCGTAAATAGATGTTCTTAATTTTTTTTTAAACAGATATGTTAACAGGTCTGTAAAATATATTATATAGAAAACTTTTGTTTCTGTATAAGTGATGTGTTGATGTGTTAAACTATAAAGTGCTGAATTAAACAGTGGTTAATCTGTAAAATTAGCAAAAATATCAAAATAAAATATAATATAAAGAATAAATTATGAAGCAATTAACATATAAGCAATTAAAAGAATTGACTTTAAAAGAAGCAATCGAATTTATTGACAACCGAAAAATCACAATAGCAGAATTAGAAAAAATAAGAGAAGATTTAAATTGACACATTGATAATTGTAAGATTTCTAATACGGTAGGAAATAGTGCTACAATTGCTGGAGCGGCATTGTCATTTTTTATTCCACCGGTAGGAATTCCCTTAGCCATAGGTGGAGCAGCAACATCCTTAGGAACTTCTTTTTCTCAGTGATACATCGAAAGACAAAAACATGGCAGACTTATGGAAGTATTAGAAAAAGATGAAAAGAGTAGAAACAAGTTAGTTGGAATAATTGGGGAAATAAAGGAGTTGGCAAAGGGAACAGTTAAAATTGGTTCTACGGCAACAAACTTAGCAAAAGCAGGAAAAAGTGTAAAATTATTCAGAGAGACCAACAATTTGCAAAAAATAACACAAGCAGCACTACCTGAACTTAATGTTGTAGCCAATGTAAGAACAGCTTCGACACAAGGTATGTCGACATTCGGAAAATTAAATAAATTATCAAAAGGAAGTATTTGTTTGTCTGGAATCGGAGCAGGATTGAGTGCCTATGATATTTATCAGACATGAAAACCTAACAATACACCAGAATCACTAAAAGAGTTAGATGAAATAATTGAAAGTTTAAAAAAAGACCTAGAAAATCTCGAAACTAGACAATTAGAAGCACAAATTGAAGTTTCTTCTGAATGGAATTGTCGAGTAATGTAATATTGACTATATTTTCAAAAAAGTGGCAAAATAATTGAGTTATGGTAAATCTAAAAATGATAACGAGTATTAATCATACTATCAAAATTAATGTCTAAATAAGAATAATCCCCATGCTTGGGATTATTAATAAAATAGTAGTCATGACCTAATTTATTCAATAAATATTGGCTACTTTTTGCGAAGCAGGATAAAGAATAGTTTCCGCGCGGTCCATAGTTCCTAAATTTCGACCGGCTTCCTGCTCGTCATAAAAACCCGCAAATTTTAGTGGTAGTTGCGAAGTATTAATACTTTTACTTCCCGCAAATTTTTCCGCATAAGTAGTTAATAAATCAGTAAAAAAAGAGTGAATGGCTGGATTGTCTGCTAGGTTGGCCGTTGAAATTAGATAATTGTTTTGGAGTTCGTATTGCTGTTGGGCGATCTGTTGCTTGGCTTCTAATTTTCACAACAGATAAATTAAAATACTGACGCAAATTAATATTGTTAGTAAAAAGGTGGTGTTTAGTCAGCATCAAATCCTTTTTAACAACCACTTTTTCTGTCTTCCCATCTATTTTTAGATTTTACACCCTTCCTACTCTCCGATACCGATTAAATTCCGCTCTCCTAACAGCACTCATCTCCCCTTTCCTCTCCTCCAAACACCCCCCACACAACGCCTTTTCCGTGGTATTCAAACCTCAAAATCTCGGGTCATTCCTATTCTTAATTACTCCATGTTTCCCTGCTCCTTTTACTTCTTGCTGGCAACTTTCACAATGAGTATAGCCATAATTGCTAATGTTATAATAAGGAGTTCGGGTCTTATGATTTACTTCACATTTACACGCTTTTAATTTTTCGGTCATTTCTTTTACGGAATTAGTATAAAATTCCACTAACTTTTGGGCAACTTGCTCTAATAAACTTAAAAATTTGGATTGATTAGCCAATTTGCCTCAAAAAGATAAATTAAAATCACTTAATTTGTTTGGGAATGAGATAGGGGAGGTGGATTTTACCAAAATATTTACTAAATTTCCTAAATTAGAGAAAATTAATTTAAGTGGTAATCCGTTAAGTGCGAAAAACTTGGATAATTTGTCCTCCGAGCAATTTGCTAAACTGATAAAAGGTATTAAAGAGAAAAAAATAAGTGTCAATTCTTTTAAGGGAACTGTGCTAATGGATTTATTGGAATACGCTCAAAAATTAGCCAGTCAAGGGAATAATCAGCAGCAGCAAAATGCACAATATTTACAGACGCTTATCCAAAGTAATTCACCCGCTAAAACGGATAATAAGCAGCCGGGAAATAATGCTCCACTTTTAATTGGCGGATTGGTTGTTTTTGGTCTGGGAGCTGTGGCCGTTGGCTATTTATTAGGCAAAAGGAGGAAAATTAATTATGAGTAAAAGAAAAGGGGTAAATTTAAAAACTCTAATCTAAACTTTCCCAGTAACTTTCAAAACAATCGGAACTATTATACCAGTCAGGGCAGTAACTATTAAAGTTCCAAAAGCCAATTGACAATCCTTTCTTTCTTTTCAACTCGGCTTATCTTTTTTTATTTCTTCTGTGCTGGTTAGGCCTTTTTCTTCCTGATTTATTTGTTGATCCTGGTTTACTGATGCACTGGGTTGGTAGGAAATATTTTCGGTTTGGGGAGTAATATTACAACTAAAATCAGCATTATCTTCGGCAATGTTGCCGATATTAGAATTTCCTTGCTGAGTAGTGATGTTACCACCTATTTTAATATTAGGGGAGCAAGATCTATTTTTTTGCATACTAAATAATAATCTAATTTTGTTCTTGTTGGGCAAGTAGTTCTATCTTTATTTCTAGCCTAGTTTCTTCGGCTTGGGCTTGGCAAATTTCCCGAACATTTGCTAATTTACTTTCTAAACTAGCAACTTTTTGGTAGAGGTCAAAATCATATTCTCACTCAACTTCTTGTTTAACTTTTTCTTTGACTGTCGGAAGTATCTCAAACAATATTTTTATGCTGTCTAAATCTTGGGCAAGTTTAGTCATTGCATCTTTTACTAGTGTTTCTCTTTTCAATCTGGCCACTACCACTTTGCCTTCATTATCAACTTCATTATTATTTTGAGTTAGTTTATTGTCGTTACCCAAAACATTTTGACTTTTGCTACCAGTGAAATGAAAATGCCCTGAATATTCAGTACTACGACGATTACTACTTAGATTAGCATTATTCCCTTTTACCTGGTTACCCATATTTAAATTGCCTTCTCTAGTGTCAACACTACTGGTGGTCAAACTGGGCTGTTCATTTGTTATTAGATTAGAATTGTTGTTGTTAGGTTCTGTCATATTATTTTCTTTTATATTAAATATTTTAGTAGTTTTGGAAATTTCAGAAAATGAATTTTCTGTTTCAACCAAATTTTTTTCTGCTGGGTGATTATGCAAACCCAAATCACTGATGCCTTGACTGTTATCAGTTGCGAGGTTAGATTTATTTATTTTTTGTTTTTTATCTCTTGATTTAGAAAAAACTGCTTTGATTTTTTTTAGGTTTTTTTTCATGTTGATTGTTTTAGGGGAGTGACGGTTTCGGAAATGTAGTCATTATTATTTTGCGTTGATTGATTCTCGTTACCTACAATATTTTGACTTCCTTCGCCAGAAAAGTTGAGAGTGCTTCTGGAATAATCAGTGTTTCGCCCGATGTTAGTTGTGCTGGCTTCTTTCGCGTGATAATGGGTTTCATTAAATGTTCCACCAGGAACAACTTTACTTCCTGCGTTATTATTAAATATCGCTCCACTTCAATCATTTTTCACCTGAGTTAATTTTTTGTTTACTTCATCTTCTGACATACTACTAATTTCCTTAATTTTGTCTTTCAAATTGCCTAAATTATTAGGCTTGTAGACCTCATTACAATTTTTACCTAAATATTCTAGTAATTTTTTTCTAGATTTTTCTCTTTTTCTTTTATTTATCTTTATTTCATTCTCTTTTTCTTCCTTTTCTTCTTCGTCATCATTAATATTTATAAAAGGCAAAGTCGGATTATCAACAAAAATAATCCTTTCTGACTTGATTTCACCAATCAACTCTCCTATTTTTTGCCGATCATTTTTATAAGTTTCCTCATTGTTAGGGGACCTAGTACGAATAATAGTAACATATTTACTAATATCTTCAGAAAAAAGAGATTTTAATAGATCATAGGCCTCCTTTTCCTGATCAAGTCGGCCACTAGAAACAAAAAAAATTTGATTTAATCCATCCCCACAAAAAAGACTTATACCAGTTATTTTAATTAATGCTTCTTGGAGAGATAATTTATCATCACCAATTCCAACTGTATCAATTACTTGGTATCTTATTTCGCCTTCTTCAAACAGTTCAGTCTGAATATTTTTTGTTTCACTGCTAATTCCAGAACTTTCTTTAAAATTGTCAGTTTTGCTTAGTACATTAGCCAAAGTAGATTTGCCAGCCCCAGTGCGACCAATAAGGAGAATATTTCTGATTCCTGCCATAATATTAATTTTGTCGTGTTTTTGGGAATTATGTTCAAACTGAGTAGTAGATAAAGCCACAGAGGTCAAAGTTCTTTTTTCATCATGACTTGAGATCTTAGTTACTAGAGAACCAAAATGAGTCTCTCCATAAATGTTTATATGTGATGGTGGTTTCTCGGGCTGCCCAGAAACAACCAATTTATCACCAGAATCTCTTCATTTTTTGATACTGTAATTATAGGGAAATAAAGCTCTTCAGAGACCATTAACCAAATCATTTTCGTTAGAAATTCTTTTAAGTTCAAACTTTTCTAAACTAATTGGTAAATACTCAATTCCTTCATAAAGATCGGTTCCAGAGATATCTAAGCGAACTAATTTAACACAATTTTTTAGTGGTTCTAAGGTGCCACACCACCTGTTTCTGCTAATATCTAATTCTTCTAAGTTAGTAAATTCTTTAAAAAAAGTTAAATCTTGAGCAGGTAAATCGTTAGTTGAAATATCTAAATAAACTAATTTTTTAGGATCAGCAATTGTAATTTTACTAATTTTATCATCACAACATTTGAGATAAGTAAGTTCTGAGCAATCGCTTAAATTTAATTCCGTCAAGGAATAATTTCCAGAGCAGTCAAGTTTAGTAAGCTTGTTTAATTCACTGAGATTTAAATTGCCTAAGACAAACTGTTTAGAACAATTTACCTCCTCTAACTGAATACAACTGCTTAAATCCAAGGCAGTGATTTTATTACCATAGCAATCAAACTTTTTTAGATTAACAAATCCTGTTAAACTCAATCGTCCCTCCAACTTTATATCTTTTATCCTATTTAAAGTGTTGTGACTAATGTCTAATTCTGTGATTTCTTCTCGTTTTTTACCTTTATTTACTTTATCAAATTCTCCTAGACATTTTCCATATTCTGGATATTCTTTGTTTAGCCATTTTTGGGCGTTTGATAACCCGTGATCATATTTTTTTCTCCAGGATTGATAATCATAACGATTAGTATCAAGAGATCCTTTGGAGGAAGGAATCCGGTTGAGTGTTTCAGCTGCAAATCCTTCAAGTCATTTTTCACAGCCTTTTAATTGCTCAGCTAATTGACCAGTACAACGAATCTCTTTCAAACCGGCTGGTAAATATTCCAATCCAGAAATAAGTTCGGTATTTACAACGTTTAATAACTCTAATTTTGTTAGGGGTTGTAAGTATCCCAAACTGCCAGTGAAGGGATTGTTACTAACCCTCAAATTCTTCAACTCAACAAACCGACTAAAAATAGTTAAATTTTGGGGTTTTTGGGGTGAAAAATTGTTACTTTTGACTCCTAAATTAGTTAGTTTGGTTGGATCCAAATTGTTTAAAAAATTTAGATCAGTTAATTGATTGCTGGAAACGTCCAGGCAATTAATCTCTGGGCACTTGGTAATATCCAGTCGAGTTAAATGATTGTTGTAAAAAATAACTTCTTTTAGTTGAGGACAGTTATGGAGAGTAAGAGAAGTTATTTCGTTATTTGGGAATTCTATTTTCTCTAACTGTGGTCAATCCTGAATTTCCAACTCATTAGTTAACCCCTTAGAATCTACTTTTAACTCTTTAATTTTATTTCTTTTTTCTAATGGATGTTCTTTATCCAATCATGTTTGAGCCTTTGGCATATTTTTGTTTATAATAATTTACATTTAATTGCAAACATTTGTTGATTAATAATTTATGACTTTTTGCCTTTTTGTTTGCTTGTATAAGATGGCAGAGGATTCGAACTTCCTCCTTCTCCATTATTAAAAGTTTCCATCATTATTTCCTCTGGTTGCGGCTGATTAACCGCCGGTTGCTGGACTATTATTACTGGTCTTTGTATATACTTTTTGTAGCAAAAGAATGCACCACCCACACTAACAATAACTAGTAAAGCAAGCAATATTCCTCACCCTCCTATACTATCAGAAGTAGAATTATCACTGCCATCAGTAGAACCAGGCGTTCGATTAGAACTACCAGTAGGAGGGATCTTTAAAGTAGAAACTGGCACATTAGATGGCTGTGCTACTATAATGTTGTCATAACCTGGTCCGCATATTTCCACTTGATAATCAAAGGGAAAAGTCCCACCCACACCATTTTCGATTTGACAATTTCCTGAGGCTAAAGAATCAGAACAAGTTACTGCACTGCCGCTCTGAAATTGATTACAACCCCAAACAGGGTTACAAACAACGCGAACTCCATTTACTGATTCTTTAGCAGTGTTGCGACCTAGTATTCAACTTACTTCTTTCTCTGTTAAACTACTTGAACTTTTATTATAAAATCTATCAGTATTACCTCCTAAACAATATATTCCATCAGTATGCTGGCAAACTACCTGAGCAGTTGAATCAGTCCTAGTGCAGGCACCTAATCCGTTAATACTTCGACACTGAACTAGTTTATTAACTGAGGAACAAGTGGCGGGATTAGCGATGCAGGCACTACTGTTGCTCTCACAGCATGATAATTTTCCCAGTTGGGTTTCTCCTTGGGCTAAAATGCGTTGGCAATTGCTTGGGGTGTTTTGTCTTTTTTCTATTTCTTGAGATCGTACCATATATCTTTAATATTTATTTATCGCTATTTATGTTATTGTGTATGTTTGTATGTTATATAATTTGCACAATCACTGCTTTTCTTTCTAGAATCTTTATACTTAACTAGGAGTGATTATATAGTTAACTAGTTAGATATCTCCTTTTTTTCGGCCATAGGCAGATATTTTTTTATTATTTTTTCGTGCATACAAATAAACGACCAGTAAAGTAAATACTTACTTTTTCACTTCTTTATCTATATTATAATTTTACACATATTTTTAGAACCAAGGGATAAATTTTGTTTAAATATATCCTCGCTTCGGCCTCAAATATTTCAAACTTTTCAATCAATAAGAATTATAACTATCCAAATATTTCTTCCCCACAAACACTACAAATCCCTGCTCAGTCTTACTATTAGTCCAAGCAGCTGCTTCTCAAATCACACACTGGACATAAATCCCTTCTTCACTTTTAGAAAGCAAACTTACCTGACAAATCCCTGTTGTTACTTCTCGCTGCTCAATACTCACCTGCCCCAACCCTTGAGTATTTACAAACAATCTCGTGCCTTGATGTCTTGACAAGGAAATAAAATGCATTAAAAATCTTTGTCGTTCTCTAATATCCTGAATTATATTGCCTTTAAAGACAAAAAATCAGGGAAGCCTAATCCTTCCCCTAAAATTATAATATAATATATAGTAGTTGATTGCATATTTAATGACTATAATTACTTAACCTATTCTGGTTTAAAGGGAACTCTGAACTCGGTTAGGGAAAGTAGTCATTAAGTATCATGAGTTCCCTTTCTCACATTAGCAATCAAAAAAGTTTAATTTACTCCGTTGCCTCTCTTCCAAAAACAACCTAGGAAGTGGCAAGGGGGAATCAAGATATTTCAAAAGGAGGGAATATATTTTTGCACTTATAACCAACAATCGCACCAAAAAGAATATTTAAAAAAGGGCGAAAAGACTCACCAGCCAGTCGGAAAATATGCCCCTAGTTACCAAAAAAAAACCAGCAAAACTAAAAATCGAGAAAATTTTTCTAATTTACCTTTTTTACTTCACTTTCAAAAAAAGAGGGGATTATTGCCATTTTTTAAAAATCCGCCTTAACAAGTTCCTATTGAGAAAAAAGTATCGTCGAAGACCAATCAATTTTCGAAAATAGAGAATTTTAATCTTTACTTTGGGAAATTAATCCTTACATGGATATTCCATGCTTCCCAGGCTGATAAGGCACAAAAAACCTCATCAGTTCATAGGAAATATAAAATCTGCATTGCTTTCGCCTGAACTAGTTAGAATGCTAACTATTAGAAAGCACGGATACACCAGTAAAAACCTCACTTGACCGCTGGGCATTCCCAAGTCAAATGAACCGGAATTGGTGCCGGCTGGTTCAAGCAACCGAGCAAATTTTAATCTCCTAAATGGAACTGTATATAGAGGATACTACACTATATCTTTTATTTTATAGTAATCGAAGGGAGCGGAGGGAGGAGAATGGGCTTTTTTTGCCCTAATTTTTACCCTTTACTTATAAAATAAGTAAATAAATAACCAACCAGCCCGTTTTTTGTCCTCTCCCGTGTGCGTAATACTGAGAATATAAGAATATAAAGGGGGAGAGGAAGGGCGAAGCCCTGACAAGGGGGGTTAAAAAAGAGGGCGTTCGCAAATATTTTTAACCATTCGTCCATTATGTATAAGATATTCAGATAAGAACTAAATTAAGGAACTTGGTAGATTTTTATTCCGGCATGTTTAGCAAGAGCAAAAAAAAGTAGATTTGTGGAAAAATTATGTTGGAAAGTTTTTTAGTGGAATTTTTAACTGGCAAAAATAAATTCTTTGAGCGATTTAAAGGCAAAAGAGGGCAATTGTGCTTAAAATTAGTTATATGCTCCCTAGTCAACAACTTTTAGAAAAAGTTAACGGGAAAATTATGTCGGTTCCCAACCGGAAAAAAGAAAGCAAACGCAAAATCCACTATTGCTTATTTTTGCTGGGTTATAAATCGGGGTTGCGAATTAGTGAAGCAGTCCATTTTGATTTGGCAACCAAAAATAAGCAGGGTTTATATCGGATAAAGAAACCGAAAGGGAAAAAGGAGCGATTGGTTTATATCCCCAAAAAAGTTATCAGGGAATTGAAAAAACATAATTGACAACCTAACCAAACTAATCGCTTCAATTTTTATCACTTTTTACGGAAAATTAAAAAGGAGTTAGGAATTAGCAAAAGTATTGAGTTAACCCCTCACACTTTACGCCGAGCATTTGCTACTTATCAAGCGGAATCTGGTTTGCCGTTGCCTCTTTTACAGAAATTATTGGGGCATAGCAGCATTCGCACTACTGCCCTTTATTGACGAAATATTTATCAGGAACCAGATAACGATATTGGCTCCATCCTGGCCGGTAAAAACTGACTAGAAAGGCACGACCCTTCCCAAAGCAAAGAACCACCAAAACCACCAAGCATGGAAATTTTTCCTCTGCTGAAGGTCGAAACCTTTTCGGAAACACCGAAAGCCCCCAAGCCTATTTTTATAGAGAATAAGCCAGTAATTTCAAACAAAAATCTCATTCAGCAGGATAATTCATTGTCACCTATTTCCGCCAAGCCAAAATCCGCCAAAATTGACTTCCAGTTCAAACCAGTAATCAGCGAAATCCAAACCAAACCATCAGGAAAAATTTTTCTTAATAGCAAAACCAATCAGCAGTCCGAAATCAGTCAGCCATTAGCACTAATTACCAAACAAAAAGCACCGCCAACCGAAAAAGAAACAATTTTACTCCAAAAAATTAAACATTTAGAGGAACAATTAAAGCAAGTTCAGGTTGAAAATGGTAATTTAAAGACAAAAAACAAAGTTTTAAAAAACTTGGTTTCAGCAGAGCAAAACAAGCATTTAAAGGCATTAGCCCAGCAATCAACGAAAGCCGAGGCAAAAATTATTCAACTGCTACCATGCGGGTAGTTTAAAATTATAATATATGGTAAACAATAAATCGTCTCTCTCTCTCTCTCTCTCTAACCTTATCAGGTAAGAAAAGAATTAAAAATTCTTTCTTTCTCATAGTTAATAAATCCTTAACTCATGACCAGCCGTAAAGAACACTTGGAGCATTTAAAACGAGAGTTAGGGAATAGTTATAGTGAGATAAACAAATTAAAAGATAGTGAAAAATCACTCATTGAGGAAAATAAAGAACTCATTGACAAATTAAAAAAAACTAATGAAGCATTAACAAAAATCGAGGAACTGACTACTAATAAAAGAGATGACAGCCAAACTACTAATGAAGAAGAAGATAAATTATTAGAGGAAGTAGAAGAACAAGCAAACTTGCTTAAAGAAGAAATTGAGGAATTAAAAGAAGTTAATAAAAAGTTAAAAGAACAGAATGCGGAATTAAAAAACCAGACTGATGGGGTTTATACTAAATCCTTAGCCATTGTTGGTATTTTTGCCGGTGGAGCATGGGTAGTGGTTGGGGTTAGGAGTTGAGTAGATACTTTGAAAGCGAGACCTAGGACAGAGTAAAACTTAATTATTTGCCACCTCTCTTATCCAAAAAAGTGGCTAAACTCTCCTCAATCAATAAGGTGGTTCTTTGGCATTTAAAAGAATTAGATATGTATTGTATGGTTAAACTCAACTATATATGCAACACCATACAATACAAAGATTAAAACACAAGTTAAACCAGGCCAAGCCTGGCTGTTGCTTCACCGGAATGGAACTCCTTTTGCTCCGCAGTCTCTTTCCCCGGCAAGATTATATTGTTAAGGAAAGAATTATGATTACTTGTGCCTTACCGGTCAGACTAATTGAACTGGCCAAAAACTTAGTAGAAAGTAGAGAAATAGAAAGCGTTAGTTTTTTATTCAGATTAGGACTAATGTATTATGAAAGGACCAGTTGGGTCCCCCCTTTATCGGAATTCTCGCTCTGGTCCAACCCCAAAACTGATTATTCTTTTCGGATAGAAAAAGAATCTTTACATTTTTGACAGAACATTAAAGGAAATAAAGTTAAAATTTTGGAGAGTTGAGGTTGATTTTTAGGGAGAATGTATGTGAGGAAGTTGGTTTAAGGGTTGTTTGGTTTGTAAAATGTTAATATAGAAAGTAGAAATTATATCATTTTAAACTCAGTAGATTTTGGGCAATGCTGGTTTGCTGAGGATATACTAAGTAACATTATTATGACTGAGAAACAAAAATTTAAAGAATTCTTAAAAAAAGCAGAAGACCCGAATTACCAACGAGAAATAAATCGGGCTTTGCCACCTAAGGCTACTTCTTTACAAGTGGCTAAATATAAATTGTGTAAACAAATGTTAGTTTATCAAAGGGAAAATAAATTAAGTGATGAGGAAATAGCCCAAAAAGTTAAGTTAAGCGTTGCTGAGGTAGAAGACATTTTATTTTGCGAGATTGAAAAATTTACTTTGGATAGATTGGTAGAGTATGCAGAAAGATTATTTTCTCCCACAGGGGTAAAAGTTTTAGTGGAGCCAACAAAAGACAATTTGCATGAGAGAATTGTTTAAGTTAGAAAGAGAGGAATTTAGTCAAGAATATAACGAGTGATGGTGAACATATTTTATCCAATTTAAATTTACCTTCAACAAGTCAGAAATTAACTACATAACTATTACTGACTACGCTTGAAAAAAGAAAGGTCGGGAAATGATTACCAAAGAGTTAATTTTAAAATTACTGACTGATCTGAGTGGAGAGGATTTGAAACCGATGAAATATGAAGGCGAGCGTGAGCCTTATAAATGAGAAACTTGGCATGAAGACAAGCCCTATCGTTTATTTTTCTGATTTAAAGACAGAACTAATAATCATTTATGAATTAGGAATTGTCATCGGGTAGATTAATTTTTGTTTTTCATAAATTCTTCCATTTCTTTAAAAGTTAAATCACACCCAAGTAACCTCTTTTTAACTCTTTACAAACTTCTAAAACAATAAAATTACCAGAACAAGGGTCAACAATTAAATTTCCTTCCTTAATCATAGCAGAAATTAGGGTTTTTTGATAAGGGTGTCTCGCTGACTAACTGCTAACTGATTTGATTTTCTTCCCACGTGGTCCCAAAATTGCGGTTATCACTCATTTTTATTGAAAAATTTCTCTTTGGGTTTTGGTTTTCTATATTTACCGCTACCGCTTTCGGTAAAGTAATTTAGGAAAAATTATTTCTTTCTCTACTTTTGCTTTTCGCCGTTTTCATTTACTTTCTATGCCTTTCGTAGCATTCAAGGGATTTTTCCAACACCTCCACTAACTTCAAATTTTCCTTTTCAGCTATCCCTTTTACTTTCTCCAACCACTCTTTACTTACCCGCGTCGCAAATTGCTCGGTTCGTCCAGTCCTTCGCAAAGTTCTTTTGTCAACTTTTCCACCAATTACCTCCGGCAATTGTAAATGTGAAGTGGTTTCAGATAAGGACGGCGGAATTTCTAATTTGTGTCTTTTTAATTTTTGTCAGTCATTCATATAATTTATTTTATAGCTGCTAGATTTATTTTAGTATCTAGCCGCTAGATACTTTTTTTATCCCCAACCCTCCATAACTCTAAACAACCAAAACAACAGAGCAACGGCATTAGTAATACAAAAAGATAATCAGTAATGCGGAGTATAACCAAACGCACTCTGTATAGCCCAAACTACCAGCATAGCCAGATTAGAGGCCAACAAACTAAACAGTAAAGACTTTCAGATATTTTTAGACATAATTTTATTTCCTATTCTTTCCATTTCCACAAACAACCGCCAGTGCCACAATAAGGGCAATTCCTCCAACCACACAAAGTCCAACAACAATTCAGTCCATGCGCTCTCTCTTTCTCTTTTCCTCGGCTAATTCTTGCTCTATTTTCTTAAAACAATCAGGACAAACATAATAAATGGCCCTTTCAATTGGCGTTGTATAAGTCACTGTTCTATATTTTCCCTGTAAATCATAGTCAACTAAATGTTTAATTCATTTTTCAATCCTTACTTCTTTGCCTTCTTCGATTTCTTTATCGCATTTTTGACAGAATTTAGGCATGTTATTCACTATTTACTCGTAGCCTCTTTTATAATCTCTTTTACTAACTCTTTGGCTTCTTTTTGTAAACTCTTATAACTGACTTCGCTAATACTTTTTCCCTCATTCTGAATTAACCGATAAGAGGCTTTTTCTTTTAAAGAATGAGTGAAAACTGAATAACCCGCCAAGATTAAATATTTCCGGGCTGCTTCTTCCTCGCTTTTAGTGGCTAAATGGTTAAGAACAAAAACCAATTTCTTTTTATTTATTCCCGCTTTAACTAACGCATGAAATTCATTAACGGATGGCTTTAAGTCGGCTAAACTGGCCCCGGTCGGCTGAATTATTAAATCGGCACGGCGGGCGATTTCTAAGGTTCCTTGGCTAGTCCGGGCGGGGCCGTCAATAATTAACAAATCAAAAATTTTTTCCTGCTTAATAATTTCCTTAAAAGTAGCAAAAGAATTAACAGTTAAATACTTATTTTTTTGTTTCCTCCGCTGACTTCATTCCAGGCTAGTTTTTTGTTGGGGGTCATAATCCACCAGCAGAGTTTTTAATTTTTGCTTGGAGGCTTCGGTGGCTAGGGCTTGGCTTAAAGTTGATTTTCCTACGCCCCCTTTTTGAGAAATAAATGCGATAATTGTCATATTTTTTAGTCGATAGGATGGATATTTCTAATTCACAAATGATTATTAGTTCCATCCTTAAATCAGAAATAAAAACGATACTTCTTTTCTTGATAAGTAGTTTCTCGCTTAAAAACTTTCCTTATTCCTGAATATTCCAAAGGTTCAGCTTTTTTGTTGTGAAACCTTTTTTTCAATATTTCCAAAATTAATTCATTAGTAATCCATTCTCGACCTGGTTTGGTCTGATAATAACTGGTAATAGTAATTGCTATTATTAGTTGGTAGTTAAAAGTAATCTTTAATTCATAAGTCCACTGCCATTCGTTATCTTTTTCGCTGAAATATTTGTCAATTAGTTTAAAAGGCTTCGGCATGAATAACTGGCTTGCGGGGTTCCAAAATCACTTTTACTTGAATAGGGTCTAATAATCTACTCGCATATTCTACTAATCTATCCAAAGTAAATTTTTCAATACAACAAAATAAAATATCTTCGGTTTCGGCTTTGCTTAAATCCATTTTGGCGGCTACTTGTTGGCGAGTCAGATTATTTTTTAATTTATAACCTAAAATTTCCTGACAGATTTCAAACTTGGCTACTTGTAAAGGAGTGGGATTTTCCGGTAAGTCATAATTGACCTCCTGGTTATTTTTTGGGTCTTCAATTTCTTGTAAATATTCCTTAAAGGATTTTTCTTTTTGTTTTTTAGTCATACATTTTATTATTTTACACTTTTAATCTAGCGGCTATATCCTTTTTACTATCTAGCTGCTAGATAATGATCACTCAAAAAATAATTTTCCAAAAGTGAAATTAAATCTTCCCTATCTTGGACAGCCAT